TTTTTTTTTTTTTTTTTTTGGTTTTATGTATTTTAAATGATATTTTTTTTTGTATAATGTGTATTAATAAATGTATTTTTTTACTGATAACTTTGTGTAATGTATTTTTTATGCTAAATAATTTTGTGTTTTTTTTTATTTATTGATGTATTAAAATTTTATTTTGTAATTTTTAATATTAAAATGATACCATATGAATAAAAGTTAACAAACTCAAACAAGTTTATTTCATTAGAATAAAATATAATCAAATTTTAGATTAAATATACATATATACCAATTTATTTAAAATAAAAAAATGAATAAAAAATAGGAGAATGCTACAATCCCGTTATGGGATGGTTGCGTTGTGTTTTCTAGCCATAGATATACATGTAATCTAGTGATGAGTAGTTAATCTAACGCTTAAAAACACAACGGAATCATCCCATAATGGGATGGTAGCATTTTCTTAAAAAATAACATATTTAATATAGAGTAAAATGTAGAGATAAGGGTTGGAGATGAATGTTAACTCTACTCTAGAGTAGTAGAGTAGAGTAAAATGCACGCTAGATTAGGTCTAGAGATAAGAGCTGGCATTAGAAGATCTATGGAAATTCACTAACATCCGCATGAGGATTTGATGGCGCAAAAAGAAGACTACAAGATTCCGACGATTTTCTTCATTCTTCCAACTACAACGGAGATGTACCAAGAAGCCATTTCCAATATCCGAGACCTTGTAAGTATTAGGAAGCCCGATTACACTATCATGAAAATAGAAAGCATACCATTGATGCGTCCGGAATCTGTTACAATTGATGAAAAAAAAAAAGTGTTAATGAATTTGGTGATTGAAGTTGAAGAACGTTCTGTTTTGTTACGTATTAGGGCTGACAATCTATATCTACTTGGCTTCCAGAAATACCAAAATCCAGAATTAGAGGATGACAAAACCCTACACATTCGGTTTGGAGAAGAAAATCCTTTATTTCCTGATTCGTCTGCTTTATTTCCTGATTCGCACCGTCTACCTTACAGTTGTCACTTTTTAATCGGCAGAGAATAAAAACAACGTAGGGGCGGGAACTCTAATCGGCAGAGAAAGTTTGGCTTATGCAATTGAAATTCTTTGTGCAACAAATGAGTACAGGAATGATAATTACTACTGCAGGAACGATTACCGAAGGTCTTTACTGTGCTTGATATATCACTTTTTAGAAGGAGCGAGGTTCACCATAATTGAACGGTATATAGTTGAAAATTTTTATTTAGGAATTCCGTTAATGACGGAGCATCTAACCATGCTGAATTTTTTGGGGAAATTTTCAACTATATACCGTTCAATTGTGGTGAACCTCGCTCCTTCTAAAAAGTGATATATCAAGCACAGTAAAGACCTTCGGTAATCGTTCCCCCAGTAGTAATTATCATTCCGTTAATGACGGAGCATCTAACCATGCTGAATTTTTGGGGAAAGTTTAGTAAGGCCGTTATTTTGAAAAAGAGTGTCAAGATTCGGGATCACGTGATATCTTGGGAAGATGCCAAGCAAAATATAGGGTTGCTCAAAAACTTCTCGAAGGATGTTCCGAGATTGAATGACATTGATCTTGATTGGCCTAATCTACCTGCATTCACAAAACCCCCATCTCCCTGGAAAGAGGAAGGGGGAAATTCCAAAAATAAAAAGAAAGAGGGAAGTTCAGGAGAAGGTCGAAGGGGACCTCCCGAGGGGGGACTTCAGGAAGAAATGGTAGATGTGAGGAGGCTGAAATGGGTGAGGAGTCCGATGTTGAAGTTGACGAGGATGCCTCAATAAAACGAGGCCTGGACAGTGCGTCCTTAATCCCTATTGATAGTCCTGGGGATCATCAATGTGTTTCCGATGCAAAGGTTAGAACGGCTTGTATCAGGTGGTTGAAGCCCGTAGCCCTGGAATTCGACAAGGAGGATATGGCGAGTATGTATGAGCTTGAGGGGCATCCCGACTACGGTTATAGCTATGTGTCACATATTTCACTATCTAACAAGCCAAATTCTTCTGTGCATTCTGTTGAGAACCCACTGCTTAGGTCAGATGATGTAGAGAGTGAGAAAAAAAGGTCTGCAGAGAACAGTAATGATCTCTCTTGGGTCGGAAAAGTCACAGGGCTTAAAGATGGCGAGATAGAAGTCAACTGGGCTGATGGGAGGATATCTAAAGTATATTCTGCCACCTTGTGAAATCAGTATTTATTTTTTTTAAATTGTAGCATTTCTTTTTGTTTTAAAAAGAAAAGAAAATGTCCCTTATTATTGTTTGGGTTTGTTGTTATGTTAGGTTGGTCCTCAAGTTGAATATGTTGGCCGAGATGATGACGATTCCATGGATAATGTTGAGGTAAACAGCTGTCTGTGTGATCTTTTCTTTTGATGGTTGATGTCAACTCTGAGACATTGCTCAGACCCAGCGCATGATTTCATTTAAAAAAAAAAGTACTTATGCATGGTATCATTTCTGCAAATATTTACTATCTGTAAACTTCATGCACACAGCACACTTGAAGCTTTGGCGGAACTAATAATTATGCCATTAATATCAAGTGGAACGACATGTACGTCACTTTAGGATTTATCTGGCATTACCATTGTAGTTTTGAAATAGATGTCTGATTGCCTTGTAGTTGATAAGCATGCTCTTTCTCTCTCTCTCTCTCTCTCTCTCTCTCTCTCTCTCTCTCATAAATGTGCCGATATAGCAGATTAACTTTAATTTAAATTATAATAGAGAACCGGAGAATCCACCTTTTATCATTTTTATCTTTCATTTTCTCTTAGCCGATAAGAACGCAAACTTGGCCCATGACGTAATGCTCTTGTAGCCCATTAAAATGGCGAAACGGAAAGCTCATAAGCTTGTATCTGTGTTCTTGTTACATACTCAGCATCCGCCTTCATCTCCTAATCCCGCACAAGTTAAACTCAATTCGATTCAGCATCAAATTGATGAGTACCCGGAGGAACTCCGCACGCCGCCTGTAGCCTTGTCATGTGTGGTGGGCTATCAGGAGGTGCACGACTTGATCGCAGCGCATTTCCACTGCCAGCAGCCCTCTATGAACACCATAGGATTGCCTGATTTCTCTAAGATCTCCGTGATCCCAACAAGAAAGCCTCCGGGAGATAATTCTGAACCTGTCGTTTTTGTTATCAAGAGAGATCACCGGACTAGGATTCCCGCCGTCGTGGCGGCTCACTTCAATTCGTCCAATATCTCAGGTGACCCCGGTCAGTGGCTTCAGGTCTGCAGCGACCTTGAAAACCTCAAGTACGCATCCTTTTTTTTTCTGTTTATATCAATAATTATATATAAACCATTATGCTTATTGCTCCAGTTATGCTGCCTTTGACTATTGTTAACTTATAGAATCATTTCATGAGCAGAGTCACAATCCCTGAGAGAAATGTCATATTGTTGGTTGTGTGTGAAGCAGGCCATAAAGGTCAGATACATTTCATGTTTTTGGTATTGTACTTCCGCGCGAATACAAAATACATTTAGTGATATGAATTTTTGAGCCTGCTGGCCACATTATGCTTTTGGATGATCCTTTCACTTCACTAGTGACTGAAACTTTTGGCGAGCTCAATTATTTCAATTTTTTGTTTCTTGTTTCTAGCTATGATGAATTGCTTGTGTTGCTGTGATTCCTAGTTCTTTTCTTGATCATTGCTCTTCTTGTATCTACTTTATCTTAATAAGTTTAGGCGCTCTGTGTCTTATAGAAAGATACTAGGCCTGGTTCTTAGACTATCTGAATCTCAACTTGCTTTTAGTATGTTAAGGTTTAGCCAGTGATCTTTCTCCTACTAGTGACTGCAGTGATAAAATATGGTGTACCAACGGTCTGTGTTCACAAAATTCACGAGATGATATTTTCATATTCCCTAATATTAATCACGTATGCGTACACCCAGATCATAGAGCATGTTGACCTCGACGTATTTGACATTATTGAACATCGTGAAAAGTCAATTGTGAGGTGCCATTGATCTCATTGATCAATCGTGCTTCTGCAATGTTCCTCCCAGAATTAGATTAGAAACTTGCATTATTGTCAATTATGGGGATTTATGAGCTTGAAGTATGAAATAATAATATGATTGCTAGGTATTCACCTATTAGGTACTGCTATTCCCACCTCTCTGCTTGTTGTCTATTTGGTATGATGTTTCCTGTTTAAATGAGCAATGGGAATCTCAAAATTTGACCTTTCAGCTGAAATTTCTATTGCAGATGAAATAAGTGAAGCTTGCATGATTGCTTTGCGGAAATATACGGAAGTAGATTCTAAGAATTTTTTTGTTTTCGTGCCTGATGATTCGTTGGAGCTTAAATCTCTAAGCAGGCATGTTACTATAATAATGCTCTTTACCCGAATTTCTTGTGCATCCTTTTACCACCTGTTCTAGAAGTTTGAGAATATACATTAGAAAATTAAATTTGCCTAAAAAATATTAAATGAGTTCTCTTTCATCTAAGCTTTTGAGATTCGTGATTCCTAATTAGCTATATCACTGCAGGCTCTCGACTGCATTTACCGATCTGGAAAATCCATATTACAGAGATGAAGGACGAAAAATAAAAATGCGCCTTGAAAAGAAATGTTTCAGGTCGTTGGAGTTAAATGTTCATTATTGTTTTAAAGTTGGTAGTTCCCTTGGTAGTTAATGTGAAATTTTCATTCCGTACAATCATTGATCTGTATAACATTTTACATCTATTATTTTCTATATGAAATCCTGAAAATATCTACTTTTTAAATTTGTATACTGCAATTTAGTCGTATATGAATTTAAAAGCTTAAGAAATGCACCTGCATTTTCTTGGCTACTGTTCGACACGAAATATCTGTGCTTTTATCATGGTTATCCTTAAAAGTACACTATTTAAGCATGGTCATCTTCCTTTGTGTACTATTGTACTCAAATTACTCCATTTTATTTCTTCTCAAATTACTCCATTTTATTTCTTACCAATTGCTATGTTGCCGTGTATGCAGAATTTCAAAGGGACTAATCTAAAGCTCTGAAGATGTATGAGGATGCATATCATGCTCTGCGAGAGGTACCCTTAGTCTAAAGTCGCATAAATGTTTGATTTACTAGATGCCGATGCATTGGTCAATATGACACTCATTTCATTTTAGAAGAAAAATCTTGTTCTATGCTTACAGGGCTAACATTTGGAAACTTCATATCATATTTTATTAACACAATTTAAAAATTCATTTATGTTCTTCCATTAACAATTTTCAAGCTGCTTAGAAACTAATGTCGTTTGACAAACGAAATGGTTTGAACTCAATCTTCGAACAAGATCCAATTTTTTTCATGGACTTTTTGTCTTTGATGTACAAAAAGGCTGTCTCTCAATAAATTACAGATGCTTTATAGCTATTTTTCTAGAAAGGGCTCAAAATGTTGTTAATTCGGAACGGTTAGTCTAATTAGTTCCCTGGTCGTGCGACCCCTGTACTATCAATCTATCCTTTCCTGTGTCGCCTTTTGTATTAACTTTCTCAGTTTGTGTGCCAAGGGTCATTTTGAAATTTGATAGAAAGGAAACTATTATTTATCTGCCTGCTTTTCGTGCACATCCGTCTGGAATTTATTTTCAAGTCTAGAGATAAATGCCTTGATTCTTATCAGCTGATAATATTTATCGATCTTTTATTGCATGTTTTTTTCAATTATTCAGCTAAATAACATAAACAGCTAACTAACACTGTTTATTTTTTGTTCTTGCAGTGAAAAATGGTAAGATTGTTGGGTGAATATGTTTTTTTTGGTTGTCCTCTTCGTGACCTTTGTTGTTTCGTTAAAAAACAATGGTACTATGATAGTATGATACACTAAACTCTCATGAATGCACCGGTATAGGAAATTTGACTAGCAGCAAATTTAGTGCTTTCACAGTTATTAATTAATAAATGTTTAAGCATATACTAGTATATCATTATTTGGAATTCAGAATCAGTACACCCTGACTTTAGTCCAGAGGCCAACCTGCAACCCTAGCTTTTAGGAAATGATGATTGGGTGTAATTTTTTTTTTTTTTAAAAAAAAATCAATCATTTTTAATGAACTATAATTTTTAACTCAACTTTAATTAAACTCCATTATTTTCAATATTAACATTATAATTATAAATAATATCACACAATTATTATTATACATGTTATATCAATTTTAATCACTACGAATCCCGTGCGATGCACAATTAAAAGCCATTTACTAATATTTATAAATTAAAATTTTTAATGTTATCTGAAATTTAAACTAAACAAAAATCACATAGAACATATTTATTTAAAATTAGTATACGACCCAACAACGAAGCATAGTTTGAGTGGTAAGACGTTTCACCTATGACCAATAGGTCATGAGTTCGAATAACTGAGTAGGGGTATTGAGAATACTATTGATCCTCCTTAGGAAGAAAAAAAAGTAAAATTAGTACACAACCCCTGCTACGCATATAATAGATAATAAAATACATTACATTCATTTTAAAATAAGTGTCATTTAAAATTTTAATTCAAAAATTCGATTTGGCTACAATGTTATTCCATAAAATAATTATTTTGGCAAAAATTTATCATATATTTAGAAGTTTATATTTATCTGAATATTAAGTATAATTCACATTAGCTAACAAAATTGAATCTTTTACCATATAACATAACTACAAATTCTTAACCATGTGATGAAATCTGGCAAAATGCAACCGGGCAGCATGAAATCACATAGTAGCTATAAAAATTGAATCTTTTACAATAAGTCATAACTAATCCCACAAATTAAGGGAAGCATTTAATGCTTTTTCATTTTATTGAATAAAAATATTCAAAAATTTATCCAAAATGATAAGTATTTAATGCTAACAGAATTTGACGTGCCATTTAAAAAAAATGGTTATTCTTAATGGATAATTTCATCTACCCACGGTAGGCACATGTTAATATGTCTCCCGCTTATGTGACATGCATACATTGGTGATATTAATATGTTAAAAAAATGCATCGCCAATGTGTGCATGCCACATAAACGGTGAGCATATTAACATGTACCCACAGTAGGTAGTGAACATTACTGTATTCTTTATATATATATATATTAATGTAATGGACGAAAATGCCCCTGGGCGCTATTTTTTAAATCGAGATTCACCGATAGAGTGAATTTTGGATTGTTTGAATATGGAAATGTCTTTCACAATATGTGGGGCTTTTTGGTCACGAGACGAAAGGGAAAAAAAAATGAAAGAACTTTTTGGAAGCGTAATAGATTTGATGACCTTCGAACTAAAAGGGGATGTCTTTTTATCTTTCTCCACTCTCTTTTAAAGTTAAATAGTATCGCATGGAGGGACAAATTTACAAATTAAGAGTAGACTGAATTATAATTTAAAAAAAATATTTTTCATAACAGTCATAATATCTTTCATTTAAAGTTTTATTGAAGTTGTGTTCGGCGAGCTTTTATAGAATAAAATTCATCAATAATATAATATATACTTATACTATCAGTAAATTCTTGTTTAATGAATAATATCAAATGATTTTCGAGAAAACCATTCTGAAACTTAGTACGAAGTGTTGTCTTCACATGTTTCCCATTGAAAAAGGCTTATTATAGTAGTACAAATGAGTATCGCTAAAATTAAATAAAGATAATTATAGAGATAAATAAAAAAATCTAACATGGAGTTTCAAAATATAAATTGTAACAATATCTATTAACACACAAATGTTAATACCAAAATTCCGTTGGACTGAAAATCTTGATAATTGGTTTACATCAATATTCTATGTATATTTGTATATATTAGTACGAAATCCGTGCGATGCACGAGTAAGAGATGTTTATTAGTATTTGTAAACTAAAATGTTTATTAAATAATATTATAAATTAAAAATATAAAATCAATGTGTAATACAATTTACTTATTGATATGGGATATATACACATTAGACCAACTTACTGAATTAGTGGAACGGACCGATTAATTAGGCTGGTCGAGCATGATATTCGCTAAGCGGGAGAGTAGAAGTTAAGGCTACGTGGACCATGGTCGAAGAACTAAAGTGATCGATTATCGATGGTCGTAAGATTGACATTCTCTACCCTAGGGACAACTCAGCGATCGTGCCAGAACTGGTCGAACATCAGAGCCTCCAAAGGAATCTCCAGCATGTGCGTAGAGGACACGTGGCGAAGATTGATTGGTATATGATGGTAACGGTTTTTGACACATTCTGACATTCCTGATGCAAAATATAGTGGAGGCAGGGGGTTGTACGATCGGGCAGTTAGGGCAGTCAGCTCAGTTCGCTCAGGCAGCTCCGAGGGCAGGTAACTCGTCCCTATAAATAGGGACGAGATTTCTCGTTTTCAACACAATCTCTAATATACTTTACTTATTCTTCATACATACTCTCCATTTTCTTCTCAAGACTGACTTGAGTATTGGAAGCTCTTCACAGGGAAATTCCTCCGGTGTGAGAGTTACGTGCAGGTTCGGTGTTCTCCCGGCGAGGAAGGCGAGCTCGAAGCGGTTTCCAGCCGGTCAGGGCGTTACACTTGTATTAGCTATATTAATTTATTTAAAATGTTACATGAAATTTAAATTATGTAAAATTACATAAAACATGTATATTTAAAATTAGTACACAACCCGTACAGTGCACATTGACAATAATAAATTACATTATATTCCATAAAATAATTATTATTTTGATAAAAATTTATCATATATTTAAAAATTCATGTGAGTAGTAAGTATATTATTACAAATTATATTGTTTCATTAATTAAAATAAATTTATTTTTCTATAAACTATATACTCAAAAAAATTAAATAATTGAGTAATTTATTACACTATAAATAGTTGACTATTCTATTTACATTCAAGTTAATATTGACTCATAAGTAATGAATAATTATTTATTTGCATTTTAAATTTGGAATCTAAATTTGGAATATACAATAAATCCCCTTTATGTATTTTGTATATGTCTATATTTTACTAATCTCGAAATTTTCTAGATTTATTGTCGGTTACCTTGTAGTTCAAATTTATTAAATAATTTTTTAGAATTAAATTACAAATTTTAATTTTTATTAACAAATATTTGTTCAAATATCTCTCTAATTTTCAAGAGGAAATTCATACCAATTTGCCGAATTATCATCAATATATTATGGCTAGTTATTATGCGAATATGCTGAAATTTAAAAATTATATCACTTTGATTTTGTAACAACTAACCTAAAATTTGACTTTCATACCCATACTAAATAAAATTCATGCCACTTATTTTATTTTCAAAATTTCCAACACTTGTATTCATACAAAATAAAATCATTACCATTTAAATTTAGAGATGTAAAGCCCCACTTATATTTGCAAAAATTCAGGATAAATTTTTTGAAATTTATTTTCAAAAACAATATTTGAGGCGCTACTCATTTTCAAACAATAATCAATACTAAACACATCCTCAATACTCAGCAATATTCAATACTCATAATCCATATATGAATCTCAATAATCAATCATAATCTAATAATAATCCAAGAGAAATAGCCCCTATCAATAATCAATAATCTAGTACTAACGAAAAGCAATAATCAATAATAACGCAATAATATCTAAGTTCAGTTCAAAGCGGAAGCATTTATTCAAATTAAAGACCACCACTCACATC